AGGATTACACATTGATTTAAACTGAGATATCTCAGACCTGAGGCTACATGAGATAAGAGTTTCTTCTATGGCACTTCCGGCCAAGATGGAGGCATGGGTAGACACACTGTCCCTCCTTGTACAACCAAAATAAGAACCACCACAATTTAAAAACAAAAAACAACCAGTACTGACAGAAAATTGAACTGTATGGAAGTCCAAAAACCAAGGAGTTAAAGTAGACACATTCATCCAGGCCAGTAGGAGGGGCAGAGTTGGGCAGCCAGGACAGAGAGGGCTCGAGGCAAAGTAGTGGTTGGCAGACCCTGGGTGCCCAAGGCAGTGGCTGTGGACCCAGTGAGATGGTGGATTGTGGAGGGGCTCAACATGCAAGGTGGCTGGCAGACCAGATGGTCCCACATTCACGTGCAGATAAAGCAGGTGAAACTGGGGATCAAGACAGACCATACAACCCAGGGTCCCAGCACAGTGAGATAAAGCCTAAAAGCACCGATTGAAAACAACTGTGGGGGTGGAGGTGCTAGGAGAAACTCCCAGCCTCACAGAAGAGTTCGTTGGAGAGACCCACAGGGTCCTAGAATGCACGCAAACCCACCCACATGGGAATCAGCACCAGAAGGGCCCAATTTACTTGAGGGAAGCAGTGGAAGTGACTGAAATCTGGCAGAGAGCAGAACAACCACCATTGTTCCCTCTCGGACCCCTGCCCCACATACAGCATCACAACACAACAACATGGGTTGCCCCACCCCAGGGAACACCTAAGGCTCCACCCCTCACTATGTAACAGGTGCATCAAGACAAAAAAAAAATGGCCCAAATGAAAGAACAGATCAAAGCTCCAGAAAAAATACAACTAGGGGATAAAGAGGTAGCCAACCTATCAGATGCACAGTTCAAAACACTGGTAATCAGGATGCTCACAGAATTGGTTGAATTTGGTCGCAAATTAGATGAAAAAAAAATGAAGGCTATGCTAAATGAAATAAAGGAAAATGTACAGGGAACCAATAGTGATGGGAAGGAAACTGGGACTCAAATCAATGGAGTACACCAGAAGGTAGAAAAAAACATCCAATCATAAAAGAATGAAGAAACAAGAATTCAGAAAAATGAGGAGAGGCTTAGGAACCTCCAGGACATCTTTAAACATTCCAACATCCAAATTAGAGGGGTACCAGAAGGAGAAGAGAAAGAGCAACAAGTGGAAAAATTATTTGAACAAATAATAAAGGAGAACTTCCCCAATCTGGCAAAGGAAATAGACTTCCAGGAAGTCCAGGAAGCTCAGAGAGTCCCAAAGAAGTTGGACCCAAGGAGGAACACACCAAGGCACATCATAATTACATTACCCAAGATTAAACAGAAGGAGAGAATCCTAGAAGCAGCAAGAGAAAAAGAGACAGTTACCTACAAAGGAGTTCCCATGAGACTCAGCTGATTTCTCAAAAGAGACCTTGAAGGCAAGAAGGGGCTAGAAAGAAATATTCCAAGTCATGAAAGGCAAGGTCCTACATCCAAAATTGCTCTATCCAGCAAAGCTTTCATTTAGAATGGAAGGGCAGATAAAGTGCTTCTCAGACAAGGTCAAGTTAAAGGAGTTCATCATCACCAAGCCCCTATTATATGAAATGTGAAAGAGACTTATCTAAGAAAAAGAAAATAAAAAACATGTACAGCAAAATGACAGCAAACTCACAATTATTAACAACCACATCTAAAACAAAAACAAAAACAAAGTAAGCAAATAACTAGAACAGGAACAGAACCACAGAAATGGAGATCACATGGAGAGTTATCAACAGGGGAGTGGGAGGAAGAGAGAGAAGGAAAAGGTACAGAGAATAAGTAGCATAGATGGTAGGTAGAAAATAGACAGGGGAAGGGTAAGAATAGTGTGGGAAATGTAGAAGCCAAAGAACTTATAAGTATGACACATGGACATAAACTAAAGGGGGAGGATGTGGGTGGGAGGGGGTGTGCAGGATGGAGGGGAGTGAAGGGGGGAAAATTAGACAACTGTAATAGCATAATCAAAAATATATTTTTTTAAAAAAGCATTTCTTCTATGATAATCAGAAGATTTGGGGCCCTTACCTGGACCATAATTTAAAACCCAAAGCTCACTGCTTTCTTGTCCAAAGTTCTGTAGTGCAGTCAGAAGCAATCAGCCCCATTAAAGTCCTTATTTCCACTAATATTATCTGTGCCAGCAAATACTTGGTCACCTAAAGTCTTGCCTATGATTACAGATATATATAGGCAATAATTTAAGGAGCAGGTGTGCTACTGTGTGCCATAAACGATCATGTACAACTTCCAACTAATATTCTTCACCACTTACAATTGGGTAATACCTTTAAATATATAGTGGTACCATGGTACTCATCATTAATTCATTCCAGAAGTCGTGACAAGTGTCACAACCAATGAGTACTGAACAATGAAGCCTTTTTCTCTTGTGGGGCAATGCCACAACTCACACAGGTTCTAGCAGGTACGACAAGTCCCGAGCAAGCGCCAAGTGCTACAACATTTTTTTCTCATAAAATGCAATGAGTACAGGGATTGACGTGTTCTGAAGCCAACAAGTACCAAGATATGACTGTGTTTAGATTATAAAACCAAGAGGAGATAGCCCAGGACAATTTATAGAATCTAAGTTTAGGACCCACTTCCAGTACTAATATTTCTATTATTTAGAGTTCAGTTGGGAAAGCAGAGCCACTGTGAGTGATATAAAGTAAGGAAGTTATTAAAAGGATTGTATCTTATAAAATTGTGGGAACTGCTAAAGAAATCCTCTTTGCATTCTTCTTGTTCTCTTTTTGTTTGCTTGTTTGTTTTCACCTTCCAGGAAAGCAGGGTGACATACAAAAAGATCATATTGTACAGTCAAACAGATACATGTTTGACACCTAGTTATGATAGTTATTAGCTAGGAAATCTTTTCAAATTACTCAAAATCTCTGAACCTCAATTTCCTCACTGGTAGAATGGAAACAACAGGACTTCTCAGGGTTGATACGAGGATAAGTGAGGTAAAGCACACACACGTAAAAGCTATTGATTGTATTAGCTCATTGATCCCAAGGTACACAATATTTCACATTTTAACTTCACTATAGCAGGAGTGAGTCCTGTAATAACTGGCATGTTAGTGTCTAATTGAGAACAGTTTTTTCCTTTCTCAGGGCACACAATATAATGAGAACCCAGATAACACCTCAAGTAATGACAACTGCAGATGTCATTTCATTATCAAACCAAATGTGACTCTTAGTGCACAAGTGGAAAACCCCAACATCCCCTACAAAACACAGGTATTCTCCTTCATACATTCCATTTGTTTCTCCATTACTGTACAAACCCTTCATCCCATACCCCTTACTATTCAGATTAGTGGAATGGAAAAGTATGAGTTTTAGAATCTGACATATTATGTTTTCAGTCTTACTGCTGTGTGACATTCTGAGCATCAGTTGAGTGTTCCATTATTGTGTATAATGATGCTTAGCCCCCAAAAATGTTAAAAAGTTAAATGAGAATGCATGGAAAGCCTTCTCAGTTCCAAATATATTGTGGGTATTCCATATCTAATCTGCTGCTGATTATTTGCCTTGAATGAAGGGCTGATCTTCTACATTGGGAAGTGGGGCAAATTCTGGCTCTCAGGCCAAATCCACCTACCATATGTTCTTTTAATTTTTTAAATTTATTTTTACTGATTTTATTGAAAGAGAGAGAGACATCAATTTGTTGTTCTACTCATTTATGCATTCATTGATTGATTCTTGTATGTGCCCTGACCAGGGACCAAACCCACAACCTTGGAGTATGGGTGTTACCAAACAGAGATTGGGATTCTCCTGCCCGCTGCACAAAGGCAAATTCCAGGGGCAGAGGTTTGGTGAAAAAGGAAAGGGGTCATTTATTCAAAAACTACACAATTTTATGCCCTGGCTGGTGTGGCTCAGTGGATTGAGCTCTGGCCTGTGAACCAAAGGGTCACCAGTTCAATTCCTAGTCAGGGCACATGCCTGGGTTGTGGGCCAAGTCCCCAATTGGGGGTGCGTGAGAGACAACCACACATTGTTTCTTTCCCTCTCTTTCTCCCTCCTTTTCCCTCCATCTAAAAATAAATAAATAAAAAAGTGTTTTTAAATACACAATTTTGGAAGAATGGCAGGCTTCTGCCCCAGGTCCCATCCCCTCCAGAACACCCAGAGAAAAACCCCACCAACCTCTTCCAGACAAACCCAAGGCTGCACACAGAGTTCCTTCTCCCATTTTAAAACATTGTCCTTTGGGAAACTGTAGGCAGCTGCTGCACAATCACTCTAGCTGCCCATCACTGTCCGGCCTCAAGCTCCTGCCTGGAGTCTGTGCTCATGGTCTGTACTACCAGCCACTGCCACTTCCCGTGCCGGTGGCCGTGGGGCCTGATGCCTGGCCATGCATCTTCCAGGGCCCGTGGTTCACAAGTGCTCTGGCCCAAACATCCACACTACGGATCCCTGAGGAAGAGAAGGCATGGTCTGGCACCATCTGTGCAGCAGCAGAAGACGCCCCAGCATCCCTCAGGCCACCGCTGGGACACACATCACTGGGGCGTGACCCAGCACTCATACCTGGGCCTCAGCACAAGACTATTCCAACAGGACAAAGTGAAGGAAAGAAAACACATGTTTTTCCCTTCCCCCCATTTAAATCTCCAGGCCCAAAATTCCATGCAGTCTGGAAAGGTTCAGTTCCCCAGCCAATCCTGTCATCCTAGAAGCCAGGACACTGAGGCTCTGACCACAGCTTCAACAGCAGCACAGCAGAGAGGAGAGCTGAAAAAATTTCTGACGAGGAAGATAAGCCAGGCCAGAGTGAATTACAAAATGTGCTTCCTATGATTTCCAGCCCTCCCCCTACTTCTATGACTGGGGTTATAAAGCAGGAGCAAGAGAGGAGAGTGACAGAAGACGCTTACCATGGGCAGCATCACTGGGAAAATGCAGGTCCTACTCCTTTGGTTGGTCTTTCTCTTGCCTCCTGAAGCTGGAGCTGGTGAGTTTGAGGTGTGATTCCCTATTCTCTGGTCCTCAGTTCCTATTCCAAGCTTACTGACCTGAATCAAATAAGAGTCTAAAATGAGAAAGCAAGAACCCATTGCAAGTGTTCCAAGGGGAAATCTCTATCTGGAAGAGTCATACTCTTTCCCAGCAGTTAATGACAGTTGACTTGGCAAAAGAAGTCTTGGATGGAGATAGAATCAGGAAACTTGCTTGGGAAGTACCTCTTCAGCTGCTTTCCTCAAAATATCCACAGTTCTGATTCATGGTCATTCAACTGCTCTCACGTGGAAGAGGTCAGGATCAGGACATGAAGAAATGTTTCAATCACAACTCACAATCAAGACTAGCCATGGTGGTCTGCAAAGTAGGATGAGGACTGACAGGGTGCATTGGGGCAGGGAAAGCCAATAAGAAGGATATGTGGTGGGGCTGAGCTACATTAGAGGTAAGGGTGAGGCTGAGGGTGGGGGTTTGCCTCAGCTTTCAACTCATCTTCCTCAGCCAGTGCTCTGTCTGAAGGCTCAGTTAGCCAATGTTTGGGAACCTGGGCTTTTCTGTTTCAGGGGAGATTATCGGTGGCATTGAGTCCAAGCCCCACTCCCACCCCTACATGGCCTATCTGGAAATCACTAAACAAGATAATGTTAGTGGATGTGGTGGGTTTCTCATAAGTGAAGAATTTGTGGTGACAGCTGCTCATTGTCAAGGAAGGTAAGAAAACTTTGCCTTATTCCCTTTTCATGTGAGGTGTTGTAGGAACCAGAGTTAACACAACTTTCAAGTGGCCTGAGGAAAAATTTTCATGCCCCACTCATATCAAGATGGTCAGTGATGTATACTTGGAGGAACTGGGCCTTTCTGACTAGTCATCTCCATCTCCAGAGGCCACAGCTTTATCATAGGCAGCCCAGGTCAAGACATGCCAATGTTGCCCCTCTCATCCTTGGGCCAGCAAAGCCCTCTCACTTCCGTGTCTGTCAGGGCCTGGCCCTTCCTGAAACAGCTGTGATCCCAGGCTGTGATCCCAGGAAACACCTGTCCTCAGTAAGATACAAGTTCCTCAGCTGGCTCTACGCTGATGAAGAGGGCCTGGTGTCACCTTATTCACAATGGGCCCTTCTCAGGAGACCAACACCTTCTCCTGACTCTCTCTTCCCTCTCAACAGAAATATTACTGTCACTCTTGGAGCTCATGACATGAAACAAGAAGAATCCACATGGCAGAAGCTAGAAGTCAAAAAACAATTTGTTCATCCAGAATACAACAGTGACACCTATCTCAATGACATCATGTTACTGAAGGTGCCATTCTCTTTCTTGGACTTCTTGATTCCCCCTTCTTAATCCTTCCTCTGACCTGTACCTTTCTCATTCTCTCTTCAAACCCACTTCCTTGGGGACCATCCCCATTCCATGTATCACCACCCCCCTGGGAAAATACTCTAGGCCCTGCCCAGGGAGCCTCTACCACACCACACCCACCACTTTCTCTGAGACGGGCAACCATCTACCCTTCCTCCCTCATAGCTACAAACAAAAGCTAAGCTGAACCATGCCGTGAGGACAATACCCCTGCCCACCTGGTCTACCTTTATTCAACCTGGAACAGTATGCCAGGCAACTGGCTGGGGGAGAACAGGAGTGAACGAGCCAACATCAGATACTCTGAGAGAGGCAAAGCTGAAACTCATGAATGCCAAGACCTGCCGCCACTTTCCCTCTTACAATAATAATTTGCAAATCTGTGTGGGTGACCCCATAAAGAAAGGATTACCATACAAGGTACTACATACTTACACTTCCTCCTCATAATCAGTCCCTGGAAGATAAAGTCCTCCTGCAAGGGGGTAAATCAGGAAGTCCCCTAGTATAGTGATTGGTATCTGCATTCATGGGTGTCCAGGATTATGAGAACTGGAATCCTCCTTCTGGGTTCCATCACCCCATACTCAAGTCTTGCCTTTAATCCTCCCAGCTAGTCTCTGTACAGGGATCCAGGAGAGAAAATATAAGGGGGAGGCGGGGTGCCGGATCTAGAGTTTTGGTTCTGAGCCAGAGAAAGAAACAGGATATTAAACTTAAGACCCCTAACTTATGACTCCATGAGGAGTCAGGATTCCTGGCCTGACTATGGGGTATCTTGGGGCTAGCCAGAGTGCTGATAGAACCAGGATGAGAGAACAGGAGAGAAAGATGATCCCTGCTCATGGTCTGCTTTCTCTAACTCACAGGGGGACTCTGGAGGCCCCCTTCTGTGTGCTGGGGTGGCCCAAGGTGTTGTGTCACATGTACATATAAATACAAGGCCTCCTGCTGTCTTCACTCGAATCTCCGCATATTTGTCCTGGATTAATGAAATCTTGGAGAGCGAGTAGCCACAGACGCCTGGTCAGCCTCAAGGAAAATCCCAAAGCCAGAGCTCTCCCTGGGTAGCCCCCAGGTTCCACAGGAGCCTGGCCCCAGCCCAAGCCCTAGGAGACTCCCAGAGGTACCCAAAACCCCTGCTGATTGTATCCCCAGCAAAATTCAATAAAGATGCTGCCTCCAGCATATGTGTGTGACATTCTTTGTCCAACCCAGAGCTTCCCCACAGCTGGTCTGCTCCACAGGGAGAAATGCAGATCTTCCTCTCTAGTGTGAATGAAGAATTACACTGGGCTCCTTTCTTGCCAGATTAATCATCAAGCCTACCAGTTTCCATGTAAGTTGTATGCTGTTATGGATTATTAAAGAAAACATTTTGATCTGTTCAATAGGATTTAACATCCAGAGTAATACTGGCACTGATTGACCTTTTTCCTCCTCTGTCCCCTCTTCTTCCGCTTCCTACTCCCACCCACCCCCTACCACCTCTTCTTTTCTTGCTTCTCTTCTTCCCTCAAACCCCAGACTCAGCCACTGCAATTCAGGGCACACATGTGCCACAGAAAATTCCCCCTGACTGTTTCCAAACACGGTCCCAGGCCTGGGCTATTGATACCTTATGTCCTCATACCCACCTCTGCCTCATGATCATCCCCCTCAATACTGTGTCTATGGTCACAGAAGTATCTGCCAAGTGGGAAAGAAGAAAATTTTTCAAGCACAAGAGTTCAGGATAGTAGGGTGAGAGAGGGATGACCCTTGAAAGTCCTCAGCACAAGTCTGTCTATTGCAGCAGTCACAATGGGGCTATACACAGCTCAGGGCCATTCTGGCCCAGCACAGGGGTCCCCTAGAGCATCAGAGTGAGCCTCATCTCTGAACTATCTCAGAGCCACCTAAATTCATCTGCCAAGGAAGATCTCAAAATAAGAGACCATATGCTGGAATGATAATATAAGGACTTTTTTCTATTTATCTTAACTCATGTTTTATATTTGTATAATTAAATAAAAAATTTTAAATATGAGATAAAAGAAACAGAGACACTATGTAATGTTTGCTTAGGAGACCAGAACCCACACTGAGTTGCAGCTAAAGTCCCATCCACCCTTGACCCTCAGACCCTAAGGACAGCACATCCACAGGGTAGCCCTGTTCCCTGGAACTGGGCAATGGAGATGTAGGGAGAGTACTCAACCTGTCCTTCCAGCCTGGCCCCCAGGGAGTAGCAGGGCAGGTGGAGAGTATCAAGAGCTTGCTTGAGTCCACAGGCTGAAATGGACCCCGAGGGGTTAACAGGGGCCCAGCCACCACAGAAAACCAAACAAGCATCACATGGACCCTTAACGTGGAAAAAGTAGTTGGTGGCTGTCACCCAGATAAGATAAGCATATCATCATTGTCAAAGTGTTAGTTCTGCCATGCGGAGAATAAGTCCACAGAGTGAGTCCGCCTGACCGACACCAAGAGTGATAAAGTCTCAGCATCACAGAGTCAGCAGGAGAAAGTGCCCAGATAAGAGGGCTTTGCCCAAACTCATGGGAAGAGGGCCTATGGACAGCTTAGGCAACACACAAAGAAGTAAGTGCTAAACAGTCACTTCCCCTTGGGATCACAGTTGCTGAGGCCCAGGTCCAAAAGCCCAACAGGCAAGTATCTGTTCCTCCCACCCCACCTCAATGTCAGGCCCTCCTCTGGGAACCTGGGGACTCTTCTCTTGCACCCACAGTTTCCCTGACAACAGTTAGCCTCACATAGTCATGCATGGTGTAGTGGCTTGGCATGTGTATATACTGAAGGAGTTATTATAGGTTGTATTGTGTCCCTAAAATATATATATATATTGAAGTCTTAACTCCCAGTGCTTTAGAATGTAACCTTATTTAGGAAATAGAGTTGTTGCAGAATTAATTAAGATGAGGCCATGCTGGAGTCAAATCCAACACTGGTGTCCTTATAAGAAAAGGAGAGAGCCACACATAGGCAGAAGGCCATGCGAAGACAGGCAGAGATGGTGTGATGCATGTCCAAGCCAAGGACCACCAAGGATTGCCAGCTCTCTCCAGAAGCTGGAGGAGAAGCATGAGAGATTCTTCCTCACAGCCCTCAGCAAGAACCAACTCTGCCAAAACTTTGATCTGAGATTTTCACTATCCAGACTCTGAGAAAATAAATTTCTCTTGTTTTCAGCCACCTAGTTTGTGGTGCTTATTTTCTTCCTCTATATTTCTCCCAAATGTAGTTAGACAGGAGCACTACTGAAAACCCAAATGTAGTTAGACCAAAACACTAGTGAAAATTCCCCAGAAGCACTACTGAAAACAACCTAGGGTAGGTTGGCCCTACCCTATACTGTTGAAACTCTACACTTCCTGTCTCATTAGTCCCACATAAACTTGTCCCTTCACACACCCCTAACAGCCTTACAAAATCATATCTGTGGTTAGGCAGCATTTGCCATTAGGCAAACAAAGGAATGTTCTTGCAACCAAGAATGTAGGATATGGAAAAAAGACTAGGCAGATAAGACACCATTATAAGGCCTCCACATAATAAAGTAATCCCAGTAGAAGGAGAATATCAGGCTATTCTAGAGCTACCTGAAGATAAGTCATTCCAAATCCAGGAACTATACCCTGACAGGAAGCAGGAATGGAGACTGGGAGGAGGGGGGTTGAGCCTACAAACACTGACTTCACCATTGGCAGACACTTAACATCAAGCACACATTATATGAACCCCTGAAATGGAAATAATAGTTGCTGTCTCTCCTGCAGCCCACCAGATAGATAAGATTATCATGGTTATTAATTCTGAGGTACACAAGATGATGATCCAAGGAGCAGGCTGACCTGACTAATGTTGACAGTGATAAGGGGAGTGTGAGGATCAGAGTCTACAGGAGAAACTGCTTCACCAAAATAAAAAGAAGGAACACTCTAGTACTTTCTCTCCTCAAATGCTAGCCTATTGCAGGAATGGCAAATGGAAGCTGGAAATATCTGGGGGCTTCCAGTCAAGAGGGCAGAGTAGGTAAATGCTGTGCTCACCTCCTCCCGTGACCATATCAAAATTACAACTAAACTGCAGAACAACTAACATTGAGAACTGCCTGCACACTGGCTGAACAGAACTCATAACTAAGAAGAAGCCACATAGAGACTGGTAGGAGGGGCTGACACACAGAATCAGCTGGTCCCACACCCATGTGTGCTGGTTAAACATCAGGAGGGATATCTTAGCTGTGGAGTTATCCCTGAGAAGCCAGGAATCCCAGCCTTACACCAGGCTCCCCTGGATTTCAGTGCCAGAAAGAAAAGTCCCCATAACTTCTGGCTGTGATAACCAGAGAAGATCATGGTAGATTGAGAGGGAGGGCTTTCAGGTTCCTAGACATTCCGCTTAAAGGACCAGTGCATGAACTTACTCGCTGATTAACTCACTCTGGGCTCTAGCACTGGGGTGGCAGCTCAAAAGGTGACAGGGATACTCAAGAATACACTGCATTGCCTGGCTGCAGTATGAAGGCTAGGGGAGAGGGCAGTTTTATCCCAAACAGTAGTACTGGCAATAGCCATTGTTTCCATGCTGAGCCCTCACCCTGAGGCACAAGTAAGTGTTATATTTGAGTCTCCATCAACCCAGATAATAGTGTTCTCCCACCTTGGTGACTGGTTCCCTGTGACCATGTCCCACCCAACTTTAGGACCCACCCAAGCCACTTCCAGCGGCTCTTCCATACAAATGGCCTCTCTTGGCTCATGCTGTGGACTTTCCTAACATCTAAGTTTCACAAATCCTAAACAAGCAGCATCTGGCTTCAGCATGCCGTGTACCTCTTGCTAAACAGCCCCAAGCCCAGCACTGGAGGCACTTGGCCTCAGTTCATAGCTTAGCCTCTCACAGGGACCTCCAAGCCCAACACAAGTGGCAAACACCTGCAGATCATTTTGTAGCTCATACCAACTGGCCCCAGGCATGGCATAGGCATCAGCTGACTTTTGCTTACATCTCCCATGAATCCCCAGAACCAATACACCTGGTGACCAGCTTCAGGCCACACCAGAGGACCACCCAACCACCCCTGCAAAAACACACTCAAAATACAGATTTGGCTAGCACCAGGGACCTGCTAACACAAATCTTGCTCCAAAGGGTAGCCATTGCACAACAGATCCTCCACTGTAGTCACGGTCAGTTCTCACAATCATTCAACCTGAGGGTCAATCCCTCCCACTAATGTGCCAACAAAAATCAAGGTTCAAATACAACAAGACACAAAATCTACATAGGGACACACCTGGCACACCCACCTCAGATGACCAGGGAGATTGCACCACTGGGCCCCAGGGAATATACCTCCTACATTAGGCCACTCTACTAAGACTGGGAGAGATAGCAGCTCTTCCTAATACATAGAAATAAATGCAGGGAGGCAGTCAAAATGAGGAGGAAAAAAACCATGTCACAAATGAAAAAACAGAACAAAACTCCAGAAAAAGGAATAAACAAAATGCAGACAAGCAATCTACCAAATGCAGATTTCAAAACACAGGTTTTAAGGATGCTTGGTGATGTCAGTCAGAACTTCTACAAAGAGATAGGAAGTATAAAAATAGAGATAGAAAACATAAAAAAGAACCAGTTAGAAATGAAGGATGCAATCACTGAAATGAGGAATACATTACAAAGAATCAACAATAGAGTAGATGAAGTAGAGGATCAAATCAGTGATTTGGAAGATAAGGTAGCAGAAAACACCTAATCAAGGCAGCAAAAATGAAAAAAGAATCCAAAAAAAATTAGGGTAGTTTAAGGGACCTCTGGGACAACATTAAGTGTAACAATATTCACATCATGGGGTACTACAGGAGAAGAGAGAGAGCAAGGAACTGAACACTTATTTAAAGAAATAATGATGGGAGACTTCCAGCAAGATGGAGGAATAGGTGGATGCACCGTACCTCCTCACACAACCAAGATTAGAACAACAATAATTTACAGACAAAAT